TCAGTAAACCAGAAAAAAAATAGAGTAAATAAGTAAATAAATCGAGTAATTAGTGTGATGCATCACGCAAAACAAGTATTGTTTATATCAAATCATCGATTAAAAGTCTACAGTGGAACAAAAAGATACATTGAGTTTCACACAACTCTTAACCAGTTGGGCAACATTTAACGTAAAAAAAAAAACTAAAAATTAAAACAAATCAAATTACAATAAAAAAAAAAATGATTCGGATATATTTTTATTATTATTTTATAAGACAAAAGATAAATTTCTTTTTGTTCTAAATAAGTCGTGGAGGGTAAGGACGAGAGGGTAAGGATTTAACGTGACGCCAAATGAGAGTGTCATTAAAAGAGTAAATGAATCGAGTAAACGAGTAAATAAATGTAATATTTAGCGTCGAGTGTCACGCAAAACGAGTAAACGAGAAAATAACTATAGAAAGTAAATCGAGTAACATATCGAGTAAAGAAATCAAATAAACGAGTAAACTAGTAGAGCTAACGATTAAACGAGCAAGTAAATTGAGCATTTAGTGTTACGTATCAAAGTAAATAAGCGAACTAGTAAACAAATCGAGTAACTGAGTAAATAAATTGAGCATCCAACGTGATGTGTCATGCAAAACGAGCGAATAAATGAAGTACTAAATTGAGTATTTTATTAAGAGTTTTATTAAACTAATTGAGTAAACAAGTGAAAAAATGAAGTAAATGAGTAAATAAATCGAGCGTTAATTAGTATTACGCATCACACGAAACGAGTTAACTAATTGAGTAAACGAAAAAACGAATTGAGTAAACTAGTAAATAAAATGAGCATATGACGTGACATGTAATGCAAAACAAGTACATAAATTTAGTATTCAGCGTCGGGTGTCGTGCAAAACGAGTAAACGAAAAAATAGCTAGAGAAAATAAATCGAGCAAAGAAATCAAATAAACGAGTAAACTAGTAGAGCTAACGATTAGACGAGCAAGTAAATTGAGCATTTAGTGTTACGTTTCACGGTAAATGAGTGAACCGGTAAACAAATCGAGTAAACGAGTAATGGAGTATTTAGCGTAAAGCTTCACAAGAAAACTATGCCAATGACACGTGTAAATATGTACATTGTTTTTTATACTAGTAAATTTGTAAAATTTTACCTACAAACAAAACAGCTAGTACAGTCAACCGAGTCAACTGGACTTTAAAACACACATAACTTTTTCGTCACTTAATTGCGGTTATTATTTTTTAATTTTAAACCAAACAAAGAAAAAATAAAATCACATTAAATAGTCCAAACTTTGCGTGCGATCCGAGTGCGTTTCGTTGACCTTATCGATTTAAATAACGTCGTTAAAAGACTGTCGTTTTTAAAAATGTATTCGGCTGGCCTTTGTGAAAAGTCCGGTCAAACGTGCACACATAAAACGAAAACAATGCAAGTGTTGGTTTAGAATAATTATTATTATTGCCAGGTACACACGCGGGTCCGTTTGATCGATACAAAGTTTTTACACTTTTATTACAAGACGGTTGTTAACGGTATTAAAATATTATTATACTTTGTTCGTGTCCGCCTCGGTATTAATTTTGTAATTAAATATACAACCGCCAAAACTGTATAAATGTGTGTGTGTGTGTGTGTATAGGTATGTGTGTTTATGTCGTTAAAGTCCTTTATACGACCGCCGACCGGATCGAATAAAATCCAAAATGATATTACACGTTATATTTTTGAGTAGTATTCGAGTGGTGGTCGTACAAAGTAGACCGGATTGTTCCTTATTAGTGTAATCATACATCCATGTATCTAAAGCACACAACGCCTAAATCCATAATATGCTAAACGTTTCCAGTCGCGTAGTAATCCGAATTGTGCTGATTTGATTTGTCCTCGGCACAAGTATACAGGGGCGCGCAAAAGGGTTAAATAACATTATAATATATATATATATATATATATAAATTATTATAATTATTAAGTATACAGATGGGGCGGCGTAAGGGACTTGGCGTTGCGTGGGAAATCTGCGGCCGAACCCCGGAGAAGAGGATCAATATTAATCTTAAATGTTCGATCCGAGATCCACAAAACGGGTGTGTGTGTGTGTAAAAAAGTGCGCGTCGAATATATTATTATAATTATTGTAAACACATCATATGTGTTATTAAATGTTTTTTTTTTTTTTTTTTTAATAACGGTTAACAGACATTTTTAACTCTGGATAATATATCCGGGCACGGCGAACCTAATCATAAACGAAGAGGGATAAACCATCGACACGACGGTTTATATAAAGGTGTATATATTTTTTATCTTCACATATTGTGGGAGGAGATGTGATTTTGCCCGTCACCGCAGACTTACCGACCCCGGATTTGTCGGTACACCTAATTATTATTACATCCATCTACCTGCGATAATATTACATAACGGGTATATTTACTCGGGGTTATTATTATATTATAGTAATTATTACTATTATATTATACGGATGATTCTGTTTTTAGTGGAAATATAATATTATAATTAGCCGTGTTCATACCTAGTCTGGAAACTCTGGCTAAAGTTGTATTTCAATATAATTAATGGTAAAAAGTAGAAAATCGCTTACAGTTCAATATGAACATATTATAGAAAAAACGTTAAGCCATACTTGAGGTTAAAAAGTATTTAAAAATTTACACAAAACCTTAACCACAAAAATATTCATCAGAGGATTATTTTTGAGTTTATTTAAATGTATATATATTTTTTTTAAACATAATATACTTGCATATTTATTGAATAATAATATTAACTGTGTGCTATGCTTCGGTTTATAGAGAATTTTTTTAAAGAAGAAGTTTGTCTGTGAAAAATATTATGTAAAAATGTATTTAAAAAATAAAAATACCAGTATGTATATATATATATGGGTTGGCTAATAGTGCACACGGCGCTTACATGTTAATGTGCTATTTATAAGTTGGAATTTGATTATTGTATACACACAGGAAGTCACATTTTGCCAATGTTGTGTGAATTTTTTTTTTTTTTATAAAATAAGCTGTAGGAAATAATTGTGTGTGAAAAAACAAATCAAACTCGTTTATAATACTAAGTATCTTCTGGGAATTTTAATTATTCCTTTTAGTTTGGCATTGTTCAGTGCAATTATTATTAATGTTTACGGGGCTAACAAATAAATAAATATCAAAACGTTGAAGACAACTTTGGCGACGGCCGCCGCAATGTTACAGGGTGTGTCATAGTTTGTGTGTTTTGATACAATTATCAATCTTGTGAAGCAATCTTATCTGGCAATGGCGGCCTGTCATGGTGATGTATGATCGAGACAGTGTAATAATTGTTGGCACTCCTTCCGGAGAGAGAGAGATTTTAAATTGTCTATCATTTTTCATTGAGCTGAAAATAATTCCCCCCCCCCCAGATAATTTCATTCTACACACCGGTTAAGTATGAGAAAACGTAAAGAGTCGAATAAGTATTTAAATATAGGAAAACATTATCTTATTTGACCGGCTTGAACGGTCAAAATACTTTAAATAAAACTTATAAGTAATAATTACTATGCCCAAGTTGAAGAAATTCAAAATATAGTTCTTGGATATACTTGTATTGTGTATTGAACTATTATCGTTATCCGTCAAGTGCTCTAATTATCATTACACATATTATTATATTACCTAAATCAAAAAGGTTTAAAATTACAATAATTGAAATGTTATAAAAGTTAATTTTTCGTTTAAAAACCTAACCCGGATGGAATGTGATTGATTATATTTACATTTGAACTATTCAATTCACTGTTGCCAACCTGATTTTTTCGAATATTGTCAAACCGGTCACACTGGGGCGTTGCCTGCATAATGGAATTACTTCGAAAATAGTGTATGCTTCGCTTTACTTACTTACCACTGTCGGTTGCTTCGAGGCTTATATACATATATATCGGTTCGACGACCTCTTGTGTGTGTGTTCTTTGGCTATGTATGTAGGTACACACTGGGAAAACATTACCTGCATTGTGTGCAAGTGTATCCAATCACATCAAGTAATCGATACTTAGTCAGGCAGTTACCATAATATTTAAGCAAGTACGACAAGTATGTCTGTTTCTCACGGTTAAACATATATTTTTTTCTCTTAATTTTTAAGTAGCAAAAAAAAAAAAAAGGTTGGTAAAACAAAATACAAAACATCTCATCTGTTGGTCTAAATCGTTTAATGTTTCTAAAATAATGATCTAATTATAAATTATGTTTTTTTTTTTAAATTTTTTTGTATTTACAAAGCGTTTTTTTGTTTAAATTTTAATAAATATATAATAATAATAATAATAGTATGTACAAGTTAACTTTACAATAATAATATTTTCTCGAGTACACAATTATATACATTATACACATTTACATTGTGTGAAAACAATAATTTAAAACACATAAAAACTAATAAATTATATTAATAATAATATTCTCGTTTGTTTTTTTTATTTAATATTATTATTTTTTTTTATATCTCGCTATACACATTATGCCGATATATTTTTAACCATACATTTTTTTTTTGTTCTTATACAAGTTGATCATTAGGGTTTTTCGACTAGCTTACAACATTCAAATAAACTTCACAATTTTTTTTCTATGCTATTATTATAATGTATTGTGATGAAAGACATTACCAAAAGCCAAACGGGTTGTAAATACTAACAATATAAATATTTTTGTATGTCTCCGGTAGTTCATATCAAATAAAATAATAATAAATTATTAAATTTAATATTATTAGTTAACATATAATAATCTCACGGACTGCGACTGGCCTATACTTATATATATATATAAATGTAGCTAACTGTGAGTTTGCTCGGTTTTATATTAACTACTAGATATATTATTTTATTTGTAGGTATTATATAAATATCGTTTTGATGGGAATAAATAGGAACTATGAGTAAATATATAATAATAATAATTAATCAATTAATATAATAATGCGTCTATATATTTTTTTTTTATCCTTTTATGATTTTCTGTTCTTTGTTTCTTCTTATTGTTATTGATCGCCGACCCTACATATTATTTGGTTGGTCGTGTGCCCGGGGAACGGCAAATCTAATAATCACGCGTACTCGGACCTCCAACTGGCCTGTAAACAGAAAAAAATGTACATAGTTAGTAAAAGACACAAACAGGTATAACAATACAGCCTAATAGCGGTTAGGACTCATCCAAGCACTGTAAAACCCTACAAACGTCTAAACTGTTGATGTCTCCTTAAAAATGTCCTCTTTCTCTCTCTCTGGACCTCATTCGTTCTGGCATTTGGTCAAGTTAGAGTTTAGGTTGGGTTAGGTTGATTCGCCAGACTCAAACTCAAAGTCTCTCTGTCTCTCTCTCTCACTCAAACAATAATAATTTTAAAAAAAATGTTTCCAGTCAGAAGTCAGATTTAGAAGGGTAACTTTCGAAACGATTAAATGGTAACGTGAACGTTTAATTGTTTTTTTTTTAAATTAAGAATAGTCTACATAAGTTTTACACAGGTATTGGGATTTAAATCAGGGGTGCCATGCAACTCCGCACACCCTGTATACTTAAATATATTGCACTATCGATATTAGTAGATTATATTATATTATTATTGATTATATTAAACTGAAAGTGACGTACATAGTTGTTACTCACCATTGCGTTGGACGTGGTGGGCAACCCGAGTCCGGTGAGCGACGCCATGTGATGGTGATGCGGGTGGATGGGATTGGGCGGCGCGGCCGGTTGTGCCACGGCCGACGTGGCGTGGTGATGGTGATGGTGGTACATGGCCGCGGCCGCGGCGGCCGCGTGGTGATGGTAGTGGCTCATAGCGGCCGGGTGAGGGTGCAGCGCGGCCGAGGCCGGATGATGGTAACCGGCGCCGGTGCCGTCGCCGCGCATCATGCCGGACAGCGACAGGCACGCGCCCGGCCCGCCGCCGCCGCCGCCGCCGCCTATTCCGCCGCCCACTCCGCCGCCGCCGCCCATGATCGAGCCCTTCTTCTTCTTCGACTTGGACGACAGTTTGCGATTCCTCGTCTGGATGCCCTCTTTCTTCATCGTCAAAGGCCGGTTCACCTGGAGGACAATGAAAAAAAAAAAAGAGGTCAGACATATTATTATTGGAAAAAAAAACCGCCCTTGTACAGTCGACAGGGTGACACACGCACACATAGGGGTAGATACTCGGTAAGTATTACTTGGTAAATCTTATTTATTTAGCGCAGCAGACAAGCGCAAAATAATTGAAATCGTCCATCGATCCGCTTAAAAAAAAAAAAATAACAATAATAAAAGAGCACAACGGCTACGCGAGACGATGATCTATAAAGTGGCTAATACTTAAATCCAATAACGAATTTACTTGTGTGTGCACAATGGCGAAAATCGATTTGCGGAAGAAATCCACCCCCCCCCCCCCCCCTACCCCACCCCCCCAAAGAGGATGTTCGGAGGCTCTGTCAAACAGAAAAACTCTCTGTGTCACGGTATACGCCGACGTTTTTAAATGTAAAAAAAAAAGTATCAATCCGCCCTGGATTCCTTTATGTTATATGCGTTTGTTTGGGCCGATAATAGGTTTTTTTTATTGTGTTTTATTGCCGGGCAGGCGCACATCAGCTGTTGCCAACAGTGGCCGCTTATGTGTCCCATTGATACGCACTTAAAAACACATTGTACCGTATAATCCTCGGGGATATAATACATATATATATATATATATTATGTACATAATAATATGTTTTGTATATAATATGTGTATTTTCGTGTCTCGTTGCCGCATAACGCGGGTATACCCGTGAGAAGGAGAGGGAGGAGTGTAATATGTAGGTACCCATACTACCCTAGCCGGAATAAAAGACCCTCGACAAACCGATTATGTGTAGCATTATAAGCTTCCGATTTGTCACCGTTGTGCTGTGTCGTTTGTATTGTGCTAAACACACACACACACACGAGCGTTGTAACATCATAATACGGCGGTCTTGGAGATCCGACGGCGCGCACCGAAATTTAATGGCAAAAAAAAAAAACGTTTATAAATTGTTTATTCTTCGAATAAAATAACGCAGGTTAACCAAAAGTAAAAAAAAAAAAAAAACCGTAAACCGTTTATATGTAGTGGCTTCTTTGCCGGAGAGGGTTAGGTCACACTTAAGACACAGGAGCAACTGACAATTTTGTTCACAAACAAGTTTTGCATCGAATGGAAACGATTTACACCCTTTTGATGATGGCCATTTGAAATTTAACTCCGTCGTTTTAGTATAATTTATTGATAGCATTTTTTTTTATCCCAGTCACAGAGTGTCTGTGCAAAAGTTATAGTCAAGGAATGTCCACGCGGGGTTAGGTTAGATTAGGGTTATCTTTTAGATGGATTTCTATGCACGTGCACACCGAAACCCTTTTTTGTCGGTTGTGATAATATTGTTATTATAACATTTTTTTTTTTTTTATGTTCTTGTTGAATGACGCTCTTCAGTCTACACAATGCAGGTAATATCGTACACACTACACACGCTCTTAGAACAATGTGATCGTATTATTATTATTATTATTATTACATTTTGTACGGTGGGTATACATAGACCCGGGTTTTACCGAGGTGTTGACCCGCCCTGGGGGTTTCGTCGAGTGCACTAATTTGACTTATTCTCCTCCACCGGTGTTTATTGTAATTAGCCATCAATAGCGGTTTTTATATATGTACGGTTACCCGCCGTGCGCCCGCGCCCTATTGTCTGCGGTTAAGATCATATTATAATATTATTGCGTGCCCCCCCCCCTCTCCTTCTACTTCTATCTGTGCGCCCAAGTACCGTTCGTCGATCATCATCATCATCGTCTTATTACTATTGTTGTTGTTGCGTTAAAGTCTTTCATCACAGCACAGAGAAGGAATTGATTTTTTTCTCCCCCTCGGTAATGAAAAAGAAGCACACGCCCGTGGCTTATAAACGGTTAAAAAAACAAAACTATAATAATAAAAAACAACAACTGGATGACTGTCTAAGCCAACGATTCGGTTTTTAGATTAAAAATATTTGCTAAAAAAAAAAAACCGTTTATGATTTTTATAACTAGGTACAACATTGTACGGCTCAGATGTGCAAAGTAAAAACTACAATGTGTACCCATCTCCGTGTACGGATGAAAGCTACTTGTAGAAAACAGACATTATGTGTAAGCCTCGAGTGTTAAGAATAAAATAAAAAATTAATTAATTACCATACGAGATTTGACTGGGCAAACGATATTATAATAGTTGAACGCAAACGACTGTGTCGAGTAAAAGTGTGAAGCCAACCCAACAGACGGTTACAGTCGAGTAATGACCGTGACGGTTTGGTTTTTGGTTTTAAATTTTTCACAAAAGTAAGTACGTACAGTGTAATCTTCGTGGGTTCGAAAACTTTCAACACTTACCGCTCCACTTATTTTTCAACGTTTTAGTATAATAATAATAATAATATTATAATCCGGCTACAATGGAATACATTAAATAAAAAGTATACATATTATTCTTAACTGTAACATTTTTCATAGATCTCACATAAGACACAAGTCACAACAGGTGCGCTGTATGATAACCAAGTATACAGGGTACTCTATATTTATTAGACTGTGCCTATCTGCTGTATATGTATGTTCCATAAGCCGGAGGTGAGAGAAATGTCTCTATATTATTTTACACTATAATGTCTATGTGTATACGATAATATACAAACTCGACATTTTTTTTTTTTTTTTAGCGATTTACACACGATTCCCGGAGCCGTAATATATTATAGTGTATCGATGATCTTTTGACCTATCACACCCTCTAGTTGGCTCTCGCACTGCTTGTGTGTGTTAGTATAAGTACACGACACGAGATCGGTATGAAGAAAAGAAAAAAAAAGTCCAGACATTCTGTTGTGCAGTTGTGTGCGCGCGTACCTCGTCCAAAGCATGCTGCCCCTTACAGGTATTGTGTTATATTATATTATCGTTATAAGGCATAGAGTAACATTACAAAGAGATGAGCTAACATCATTACTAGCTTGTATGCGATAGTGAAGTAAACAGAAGGACTAGAACCAGTGTGACCACACGTGAGGGGAAAAATAAAGTCATCGTTGTTAATTGCAGACTGACTCAAGTCCTACTGTTTGCTTCAACTACTATAGCCATCTCCTGGTATAATAGGTATAGCATTTTTTTCCTAAAAAAAGACTCTCTAATCAGTGGCGAGCACATCAGTGTAGCCACATGAATTATTGTGCAGATATAGACCTAACCTAACCTAACCAAACTTTACTGACTCTAACCTAACCAAACCTAACCAAACCTAACCAAACCTAACCAAACCTAACTAAACCTAACCAAACCTAACTAAACCTAACCAAACCTAAGCTATCCTAACCTAACCTAACCAAACCGATTAAATGATAATAATATGACAGACTAGTGCATTTTTTTTTTTATAATATCTTATCTGTGATATTATTATTATGATGGAGTTGTATCAACTCGAATCTGCGGTTACACTGATTTCATAATATTATTATGACGTTATGGTTTTTGTTTACATGCCGAGTGAGCCATAATATAGTGTCTGTGGTACCTAACCGAGGTCGCCCATAGTAGATATAGGTATAATAAAAAAAAAGTATTATGTTAATATAGTTGAAAATTCCGGGAATTCCACTCCCAAACTGACCGCGAGTCTGTGCACAGAAAACACGGGGCCGGTTTACATTGTTTTAACATTTAAAAAAAAAACCTTTTACATAGACCCCCATCGGTTTTATGAAAAAAAAAAATACAACATGTTTTTTTTAACACACAAAAATATCATAGTGACCCGTGTCCCATCATCGACGTGTTTAATAATATTATAATAATATCGCCCCCCCCCCTTCTATCTCTCACACACACACACAAACGGTTTAAGACTTCACGAGGATATTGCTTTTTTTTTTTTTTTAATACTCGTCAAATTATTATTATTATGGACGATGACAAACCAAGACCGTTGTCGTACATAACAAGATAATCGAGCACACGGCACATGATAATAATAAAAACACAACAGCAGGAGGTCCCCCCCCCACCCCCCGTCCACGAGATGGACCAAGGGGCACAACAGCTACACACACACGATTCCCAATGGCCGAAAGTATATACATATAATAATATATTATTGTAATAGTAATTTTTTTCTATTCCCCGTTCGCCAAACCGATTGATAAGTCATTGACATCCGAATAATAATAATTCTACTATCCGGACCTCACCCGTCGTCGACATACGATATCCACCGCCGAACCCACCACCGACTCCCACGGCGCCACTTGGAGCGTCCCCTTTTATCCCACAGGAAACGATCATGTGGGTCGCAGGATATTCGCACGGTGGTGTTTCACACACACACTTAAAGCTTCAGTCTTTGTCTATAAACGACATAACGATACAGTCTTAAGACAATACCGACAGTCATAGTGTTGGGAAAAAAACTTGAAGTAAGCCAAGTTTCCAATCCACAGTGCCCGACAACTTGGTCACATCAGGAACAAAGACTTGGGGGCGGTGGAGAAGTTGAAGGAGTGAGTTTATAAGTGTATACAACATTTGTGGCGTTCAATGCAATAGAACGGATTTCGAGCATTTTGATTTTTGTTCTAAACGTTGAAAATCATAGCTGTTATAGTAGTCTGTAGTAGTCAAATAGTTAGTTCACCTGAACTCCAACAGGTGTTGGACTCTCAAATATGTTACACACACACACACAATAGATGCTTAATTCGATAAACCGCTTTTTGTATAGCTCATTTCTTGGAATTATTTTCACTATTACCGAAACAATGGCATATTATAATATAGGCTAGAATAAATATAAGCGAATTGATCGTAACAAGCGCCGTCCATTGTGCAGGAATATTAGCTAACGTTTTTCTTGGATATTATATTTTCTGGGCTACGAAATTCTTAATCGTATAATTCCCAAGGTACTTTTCTACGTTAACGGCTGATTTCTCAACAGGCACCATTAACAGTTAAAACAAAAAAAAAAAATATCTATATTTTTTAATTTTTTTATAAACGACATAAGTCAACCACACAACGGCCAAACTTTGTATACTTGCACTTGTCCTCTAAACGTGTCATATCGTCCCTTTGAAAATCTTCTCACTACTCCACTGAATCCCAGAGGCTGTAAGCAACTTGTAACGTGCCAAGTTAAGAGCTTAATATTCCGATCTGACCGCGTGGTACTCACACAGGGATGATTAACCGTCGAGACAAGCGATGGGGAAGTATTAGCGTCGGACGTTTATGGATCATTAAACGGTCTAGTTGGCCGGGTGAGGCGAGGGAGATTATATTTATACTCGTGTGTGTGTGTTATGTCTTGCGGGTGTTTGGCAAAAAAAAAAAACCCCAACCCCATCAGAGAGGGCGGTATAGGCTATACAGATAGAGCGCACAGGGATTATACGGGGGTTGGTTTAAATGCGTTTCGGAAGTTGTAGTTAGCGCTGGCCAAAATCCCTCTCTCTCTCTCTGGGTGTGTGTGCGACAAGTAATAATAATACAAAATGTATATTATAACAAACAACAACAAACGAAGCCGACCGACGGGGTTGGCGCCAAACGAGAGATGATGTCGCCGTACGACGACAATAATAGATGATAACAATTATATTATTTTCCACATAAGACGACGGCGGCGGTGGCGCTTATTGTGCGTTAGTCGGAGAATAAGAAGAAGACTGGGAAAAAACCTCCCAAAAACCTAATACAATGTCAACATAGTATGTGTATGGTTTTTTTATTGTCGCCCAAAACGGTTTCCGGGTAAAAAAAAAAACTGCACACGAGTGTGCAGAACATTGTGTGTTTGATTGTTAATTCTTACAGCAATAATCTTACATTGGCCTTAAAATTATGATATCTGTAATATTATTGCATTATTTTATACTCACGTTGTGCAGTTTGTAGTAGAGACCGCAAGCGTTGCAAACGGGTTCGCCGTTTTGGTTTCTTCTCCACAAAGTTGTGGTGGAAGTCTTGCAATTCGCACAGCTCGTCCCGGCTCTACGGGCCGCCGACTGAAGAGACTGGAAAAATTTATAAAACAATATTATTCCACTTGAAGATTAAAAGACATCAACGACAATCAATTGGTATAGGTATCACACCGCAGATCAGATTGGTCCACTCCCCTGTTAAAGCGGCAATGTAAAATAACCAAAACCCTCCCCTCGACTAAGGATCATTTACATTAAATGGTTTTAACTTTTTAATGCAACCAAATTAGGTGGTAATACGCGGTTTGACCTAGTTTTAAATATGCATACATACATGTTATTATTAAATGCCTTTCTAAGACATAATGTAATTATTATTTGTGCACATGACAAGATTAGCATGACCGCCCGCGGTTAATGTGTGTTTTTGTAATAATATTTGTGTAAAATAATAATTATTGCCGTGTTAGAATATAGTATGCATATAATAGATGTACATGTATTATATAACGGCTAATTGATGTATGTAAAATGCATAAAACTATTATTTTTACAATAAGACAAAAATTGCACAAAAGGCACGCGGCGGCCGCCATTTGTTTGCATAATTATAATTACAGTAAGCAGGTACTAACCACGGGGATAAGTAAAAATTATGATCAAACACAATGTACACCTAAGATTAATAATTATTAGATTTTTTTTAAAAAAAATAATAAAAAACCCATCACGTTATTAGATCTTGTCATGTTTGCGCGGTTCCCATAGTTTGTTTACCGTTTAGTGTAATTAGTCGCCGGCAAACATATAAATCTCAAGCTTTGGGTTTTAACCGTTTCAAGTTAATTGTTACTGTTGGCCTAAACGGAATTTTTAACAAAAGAAAAAAAAATACTACATTTAAAACCAAAAAAAAAAAACATTTAGCGCCATACATTATTATAATAGCCGTGTAATAGTTTACAAAAATAAAAACCATTTTTATTTTACAAGGACTTAGCGTGTACGGCTAAAACGTTTTTTTTTTTTACTTTAAAGCAAAAACGTCCATTGTAAACGTCTCGACGAGCACTCGCGTGTCTTTCACCTTTGGCACTAAACGAAATGCCAAAAAAAAAAAAAAGGTAAAAATAAGTAATGTGATGTTTAAAAAACACAATATTGCTCCACTGAATAAACCAAAAAAACACAGTTAACGGTTTGTCCTACAACAATGACAGAGATCAAGATTATGTACATTATTAATTGTTGAAATTAGAAAACTTATTTTCAAAGGTCGTTAAACTACTTATAAATACGGTAAAAGGGGAAAAAATGTTATTTTAGCAAATATATTACAAAATATTATACTGTTGACGTACCATACGTTAGACGCTTTGTTCAATGAGTAAAAAAGTTAACTTGACTTAAACACTTTTCGGTCAACAATACTCTATTTGTAGAGCGGGTCAAGACGGATTCAAAATGTTGTTTTCATTTTTTTTTTTTTTGTAATTTTCATGAAACAGGTTTTCTAAAATATAGCCTTTTAAATTATTAATTTTGTTCGAAAACTTTGGGTTTTTATTTGACAAAGAAAACACAAAACAAATATAATATCTTTTGCCGACTAAACAAAAAAACCTAAACAGCGTACCTATATATTACCTATATTGATATCTAATATCTATATCTACATCTATAACTATATCTATGTCTGTATCTATATCTGTACCTATACCTATATCTATATCTACTATACTATACCTTATACCTATATCTATATCTATACCTATACCTTAAAATATTTTAATATTATTATTTTATTATTGTAATTATTATCTATATCTGTACCTATGCCTATGTCTATATCTATATTTATACCTATATCTATTTATACATCTACACCTATACCTATACCTTACAGTATTATTATATTATTGTTTTAAAACGTTTTTAGATGGCTTAAAAATGTACAATTATTATTATTTTTTTTGTATTTATGCGCGATGGTGGTTGATTGATGTACGATTAAAAATTCAAAAAAAAATACCAACTCGACGTTTAAACGACTACTACACGTAAGACCGGCCGCGTGTCAAATTTGATTTTTTTTTTTCTATACTTTCTTTAATGGCTACTTTATATTATAACTTCGGCTACCACTATTATATTATTATTATTATTATACACGTGTACAGCCGCGGTGAGTAGTTTAGGTATAGAGGTACCCAGTGGTGGTAGTAGTAGTAGCGAGCGCATAACTTATCCGCCTGTTGTCAATTAAACGTCACAATCGGATCGATTCACACATACACACACAAGTGTGTTAAACGATATTAAAAAAAAAAAAAACAGAACAGAACAGAACTACTTGCTGGCGTGTCCATTAGTAGGTAAAGACGTAGGCGTGGTGTACATAATAATATTATACCATTCTTTAAAGAGATATGGGAAAAAAAAAAGAAGGATAATACTATCCGCGGCTGTCCGAGGGCGAAGCATCCAATTTGTGACTCATCATATTTATTTTTTACCCGTTAAGTATAATGTACAATAATATATATTGTAAAACCGTCAATCGGTATGCGAGCCCGTGTATAATCCGACACGATAATAATATTATTATTATTATTATTATTTATAAATACATTATTCCCGTGGTTCGCCGATCCAATGGTTCGATAAAGTATTTTTTTTTTTAATTTCCCAATGATAAATGGACTACTCTTTGGATATTAAAATATTTCAATAATATTGTCGACGGTCCGCTGCTTTGAGGTTGACAGCGTAATCGAATACACGTCTCACGTGAGACACGGTATTATTGTATACAGATTAAGAGAGGCGCATAACTTGTGAAAACTAAAAAAAAAAAACCACCTATGTTTTCAGAAGATTCGCATTGCTTTTGCAAACTATAAAAAAAATTACATCTCAAATGAATTAAAAAAAAAAACCAATAGGTCGGTTTAGAACACTTGGTTATATTTTTGAAATATAAGAGTATTGTTTGAAGACAAAGCTTTAGAAGTAACTAATTATTTGATTTCAATTGCATTTATTTACATCACAACTGGACGACCGTTTTAATTAGACTTTCAAACGTTTCTCGCGTTATTCTATTGCTGTGTTTTTTCTCTAAATTGTGTCCTTATTGGTCCTAGGGCCTTAAGTACGTTAACTCTTTACGGTTTAGCCGTTTCCTTTGATGCCGACCGTCACGCCTTAAACGCGTTTCATATAATACAACAATAATTATTATTATTATCGTTATTATTGTCACGTCAACGCGTTTTTAAAGATTTTTCGACATAGCTGTTCAGCCTGTTAAACGCACACAAGTCATATTGTATCTTTGCTAACAATAATATATAATATATTAAATACCCCGTCACCTCATTAATTTACTTTTCCCGGGGGTAGACACGATAATAATTATACGGTGTATTATGTTGGTATACAAGCGATTTGAACCCATTGACGACACGTTAAACGGCCGGGTCGGATGTTGTATTATGTTATAGTAGATAACATTTATTTTTTGGAGATATTATCAGACGATGATTATGATGATATTAATAATAATTGGTAAAATACTAAAATTAATGGGGAGGGGTAGGGGGGGGGGAGACAGATCGCCATAGACGTGTATAGACATGGTCTGGTCGTGCGCGCTCATTGTGTGCATGTAACCTATGTGTGTGTGTGTGTGTGTGTGTACATACACATTACAAGTGTATAATAATAATAATAATAATAAGAAATAAAAAACGACCGAGAGATATCGGCTTCGTCATGCACAATCAATTACGCCATTAGAGATAGGAGACGAACGTGACGGGGGGTGCAAACAATATTCATTGGAAGTGTACCGTGTGTGTGGAGAGAGAGAAAAAATCTCCTAGTCACAAAAAAAAACAGACTATTTTTTTTTTTTTTTTTTAATCCGTTTAGACACACGTTGTTGTTTGATCGGTATTGTAATATAATAATTGCCGGTTTTTAGTGCGGGTACACCACGCACAAAAACACTATAATATGCTGCAAAAGCATTCCACCCTCGCCTCGTTATAATCCTTTTTAATAGTTTTTACATGAGTATAATTATTAAATCGCACGATTATAAAACCTACATGTACGTGTAGGTACAAAGTCAATACGTAGGTAAGTACAATAATTATTATTACCAAGTCAGTCAGGACGAGGTTGTGTGTGTGTGTGTGAAAATAACAACATTAAGAAATATACCAAACTGTACGGAACTAGTTTTCGTGTGAACCACAAAACGAACGGGGTGTTAACGCGTTGTAATTAATATCTTATAAAAATACTATATAGGAAATCACGAGAGCTATATACATATATATATAGGTATATTACAAATACGTGTGTATATGTGGAATATATGCATACAGGTACACACACAGGTCGTGTCTTGTAAGAGGGGCGTCCGGCTGTATATTAATAATGCTATGGGTTATTAATCGATTTCGATAATAATAATAATATTACCTATACTATAACGCTGGGTGTTACGATTAAAGAAGTAAGAATAATAATTAATAGGCTAAAGGATTATAATTAGAGACTAGAGGTATATATATATACACCTATATCATATCCCGTTGTCGTTAATATATTTTATATGCTCGCTTATATTCATTGTGTGTGCATGTAAGATCGTGACCGAAGGGCGACTTTGCGCACCACCCACCACATGTATAAACGCTATAATGTCCATATATATATATATATGTATATAAATCGGTATTAACCATTTAAAAATAAAAAAAATAATAAATGTATATTATAATATTTTACGTTCGGGAAAAACATTTTTTTTTTTTATTATGATTTAGTGTAATTATAATAAATACAAACGGATTGCGACTATGGCGAGCGCGTGCACTATAGACAACAGCATCAGCTGGCTGTTATCTAGTTTGATCATCTTCGTTTACCACCTAAAACTACATAATATGTACAACCCCGGGCATAATTTTTTTTTGTAGAAATCGGTGTACAACTAACTCGGCTAGCTTGGCAACTAATTGAACTGTATTGCCCTCGGTGCAAAAATATTCATTAAATGTATAACATGATTTCTG